AGCGAAGAGGATTGACGGTGTGCACCAAGAGACCCAAATGTTGGTGTACCAACAGATACACGGGAAGAGTTCAGAGTAGAACCGGAAGGAAGTCTGGAAGAGGTCATTGACGCAGGCGCTGTAGTGGAAGGAAGGGTGGAAGACTGGGTAGAGGCGGGCACGAAGGTGTCGACTGGAAGCCGCAGCAAAGGACTTGGCGATGGGTGCGCATTTGACACGGCAGGTAGAGCAGGGAATTCGGAAGTGAAATCGGCATTTGGTAAAGCGTCAACCGAAGAGGAATCGCGCCATGAAGAGGGCGTGCTTCTAGGAAAAGGACCGCACAGCCTGCGAATATGGCTGGCGATTAAAGCGACTCCTTCAAAACTTGGATGTAATCCATCCATGCATAGTGTGCGGCTGGGGGGAAGCCATTCCAACCCATGATCAATGAAGAACACTTGTCGGGAGAATCGGCAATGGTTGCGTAGCAAAAAATTCAAGTGACATGCTTCTCGATTGCAACGGCGAATGAATGCTCTATTCCTAAACTTTCTTCGACGACTTTCGGAACGTGGAAGAATAAGGCTTACGTAAATGCGCCTGACATTAGGGTGCTGTGCAATCACCGCTTCTAGTAGCGAGCAGTACTTTTTGAAGGCGAAGCGACCTGAAGAGGACGCAAGGTCATTTGTGCCGACATGGATAATCACAGTCTGTGCCGTATCCGGGATGAAGTCGAGCAAGTTGTGAACGTCATCAATGAGAGCACCGCACAACGAAACAAATGCAGGTGTGCCGGGAACAACGGGATCGAAATGTTGATGCAAATACTTGGTCTGCGAATCACCCAACACGATTGTGGAAACCTGGCATCTTGGAAACATCCATGATATTCTTTCACTGTGGGTCGACCGGAATCCAGAGTAAGAGACATTGGAGGAGCGTTTGTCGCCGGATCCGGGAATAATAGGAGAATAAAAGGAGTTTGACTCACAAGTGAAAAGATTTTTTACTTGACGTTTCGACCGTGGGCCCGGCCTTCGTCAGAATGAAACAAAACACAGCAATGGTAACCACTTATATGCCAGTTGGTCACATGGATTGTAGATAGGTACAATCAATACACGTGGAAAAAATGCGTTCAAAATGTATCAACATACTGTTCGTCAGTAACATACTCGCGTAACAAGAAGATTCAACAGCAATTGACAGCTCATGTGGTGACGAAAAAAACACCGATAACAGAAGATTAACACGTGAAAAACAGCACCTACACTGTTACGGACAATTTTCAAGGATATAATAATAAAAGGTGATCAATGCGCATGACATATTACTGGCGCAAGAACGTTAAGGTGCCGGGATTTTCGTTGAGACCGAAAGCAATGGTACTGAATTTGTGGATGAGATATGATTCCCGGACTTCTCTGTCACGATGGGAGCTAAAGCCTGACTCTAGAATTGTAGCTTTTATCTTGCTGAAGGAATGACCTGGAAGCGCAACGTGTTTCGATAACGGTAAGTTAGGAAGGGAAATCGCGTGTGCTTTATGATTATTAAAACGTAGACGAAAGCTGGTTTCGGTTTGTCCAATGTATTGCATACCACATACAGAGCACTCCAGAAGATAGATTACGTTCGATGTGTAACAGCAAAAGTTACCCTTTATTTTAAGACTGAAACCGGAGGCGGTACTCTGAGCTGAAAGTGATGTTGTCATATGTGCACAAATTTTGCAGCGTGATTTATTGCATGGATGGCAACCCGAATATTGCGGTTTAGTAACTTTAGAGGATGTGACTAAGTCGTGTAAATTTTTAGAGCGTCTGTAGATTACTTTAGGTGGAATCGGGAAGATTGTTCGGAGACGTTGGCTTTGCAAGAGGATATTATGATGCTTTGAAGAATACAGTTTACTCTGGGAGCCGAAGCTGAATGAGTGAGGACCAGGTTGGTTAGGCGTGAGGTGGCAGTCTTTTCGGTGCCTTTAATAAGGTCTTGCGTTCGACGAGGTCAGCCTTTTTGAAAGCGTCTTCTACGAGACGGACAGGATAATTCTGTTTAACTAAAGATTCCCTCAGGGAAGTGCAGTTCTGGTGATAATCAGACTCATGTGTACAAACGCGTTTGAAACGGAGTGCCTGACTGTATGGAATGCTGGTCTTCCAGTGCTTTAAATGACTACTGTGAAAATGAAGATATTGGTGCCTGTCTGTGGGCTTCTTGAAAAGCGTGGTGCTTAGTCTGCCGTTCCGCAAAAAAACAGTAATGTCAAGAAAATCTGCGCGCTTGTCCGAGAATGAATGGGAGAATGATATGGAACTGTGAACATTGTTGAACGCTGTTATAAATGAAAGTAATGCATGCTCCCCGTGTTCCCAAATCAGGAAGATGTCGTCAATGTACCTTTTATAAAAAAGTGGCGTTAATGTTTGACTACTCAAGAATTCTTTCTCCAGCACACCCATGAAGATATTAGCGTAATTGGGGCCAATTTTAGTCCCCATGGAAGTCCCGTTCACTTGTACGAAATGTTCATCGTTGAATTCAAAGTTATTGTATTGAAGAATTAATTTCAATAATGTTGCTAATGTTGCGCCATCTATAGAATGGTCGGAGGCCGAACGCTCGTATTCCTGACGAACAGCTTCGATTCCGTCCTTGTGTGGAATGTTTGTATATAGGGAACAAACATCCAGAGTAACCAAGAGGGATCCTTCAGGAATAATTAAATCGGCAATGTCGCTCAAGAATTGGCCTGAGTCTTTGATGTAGGACGGGTAAGTTTGCGGAATATGGCTAATGAGGGTGTCAACAAAACTGGAAATCTTCTCAGTTACGGAACCGATAGCCGAAACTATTGGTCTGCCGGGGTTGCCTGTCTTATGAATTTTGGGTAGTAGATAAAACCTTCCTGCTGAAGGACTTAGCGGGAGCAAGAAAGATAGGTCCTTGACTGTTAACTTTTTATCTGCCACGAGTTGTTCTAATTCTTATTTGCAATCGACGTTATGGCAATCGACGTTACGCGAAGCAGGTGGGGAGAAGGTGACCGTATTGTAATTTTTGGTATTGAGCGACACGTAGCGGAGTGACCCAAATATATGTGTAGATGTTAAACGCACAGACATGTTGAACCGTCGCACACGTTTTATGCAACGAGTTCTTTGCACTTGCGCAACGATGCCAACAGCGACATGGATATTAGCAACACCAGAAGCCGTAAGCTGATAAGTAATGCTTGAGCTCGTGAGAATAGCAATCCTGGACCCTGCTACAAGAATTATTTTCAGTGGAATAGCACTTAACTATAACTGACGATAACACGACGAGACGGCTAAATCATGAGTGTTATAAAATTGGACAGCCAAAATTGAACCCAACATTAACGTTTTACCAACATTGCCCTTGAATAGGGAATTTTCCCAAAGAAACACCGAGACCTCACGTGGATCAGTGGTAGAACATTAGAGTTCCACGCAGAATACTTGGGTTCGATTCCCACCGGTACGCGGCAGATGTCTGTTTTCCTTCAAGCTCTACCATTTAAATTATCAATGTATCTTGTCGTCGTTAGTGGGTACATGTAAACTGTAGATCACCTGTGGCGCATTTTCGGACACCCGTGGCACATACCTGCGGATATGTGTCACTGTCGAGCGGGAGGTGTTTGACGACGTAAGTGACAGGATAGTAGCATTTTTCTTCTCATGATCAGCGTGTCATTTCGTCAAACAATCTTACCATTTCATACTAATTTTGGTTCACTTGAAATTAGGGTGGTAGTGATGAGAGGATCAAGACGTAGGCGGATAGATAGATAGATGGATAGATACGCAGAGGAGCACCGTAAGTGACTGCAGAACGCGAAGAAAATGACTAGCATTTAAAAACGTCTGTGCATCTATGACAACCGCGATGAGCTAGACCAGGTAATTCATCGGCAAGAACAAGTGATTGATACCCTGAATTGGCACACCCACCTTACTTTTGATGTTTGTAGGCTGCAAACTGTCAACTCGGTTGCCCTCTCGAGAGCGCAGGCAGTCTGCCTTTCCACACGCAAGCAACATATAAAAGCTGATTATAAATTTTTCTTCTAGAGCAAAGGTCTGTTTCAGCAAAATCATTGAAAATGTAGGTTTGCGCACAATAATGCTGCAGTGAAGTGAGTGCACACGGAAAGGGTCATTTTGGTGCGTTATTCTCGTGAACAAAGAGAATGAGGGTATATAATCTCGAGACCTTCTTTTGAATGAGCTAAACGCTCCTAATAAAAAAAAGTTCAACAAATTTGAGAGCTTAGTTTCTTTTTTTCACGTTTTCAAAATGGGCTTTTTGAACAACTTGCTTCCTTAACTACCTTTTTTTTTGTACGATCCTGAGGCAAATGAAATTCCGAAGGAATGTTCCAAAGGCCTTTTTTTATAGTTGACAGCGTTTTCAAGTTTCTGTGCGCAATATAAAACGTGCCAAGGAGCATAAAACCTAGGAATTGTTTTTTTTTTAACCGAGTTCGCAAATTTTCCCCATGTGTTCGCTTCTGAGGACAATAAAGAAAGCTTGATCAATGTTCTAAATCCAACGGGAAAAGATTTCGAAGGAAGATGTATAGGTCGTGTTGAATATTGCCGTCGAATCCGAAAATATTTCTTTGACCAAAAACACGGCGGTACAATGTTACCACTTTCCCAAGATGCGCGCGCGCGCGCACACACACACACACACACACACACACACACACACACACACACACACACACACACACACACACACACACACACACACCACACACACACACACACACACACACACACACATGCACGCACGCATGCAAACACACACAGTTATTCTGTATATTGTAGTCGCCTAACCAACGAATAAAGAGTTAAGACAGAATAAGTCATTATAAGATACCCTATTCTGAATTATTTTCGATCTCTACGAGGGCTCCTATCGAGGTCAAGTTCAGTAGATTGGCCTGTCATACTTCAAGGACTATGACATATCTGCTAGACATGAATGATGGGCAGGTACGAAGAAATCTGAATTAAGAAAGCGCGATGGAGGATCCGAAACGCATAGCAGTTCCTGCACGCGGCGCGCGGCTCGTTCAGTGCTATTCAACTGCAGCGCCGCCGCTACGGGCAACGCGGAAGGGATTAGGTGGCGAGGCACGGTCTCGCCACTCAACATTTCTAGTACACCCTAACATCGCGTAGGCTCTACGTTATTTTGTTCTGGCGTGCATGCGCGGTTATGATGATGATTTGATGATGATGATGACTTGTGGCTTTGCCCTTTGTAACGGATGAACACATATATGTCGTGTTCCAGCCTGGGTATTGCCGCCTACTCGTTGTGCCAAGACAGAAAATCTTTAGCCTGGGTACATGACCTCAATGATTTGTACAAGTTCGGAGGTTATGTTGCGACTGCACGCAAATTTTTCGGTTTGAATAGTTAGTATTCCGTACTGTGAAGAGACTGGGCCTTGAGCATAAGGAAGCTAAATGTCACTCTATTACTTCAGCCACAAGCATTGTCCGAAAACTCGACATCAATAAGGCCGTTTTCCACCAGGTTTCCACAGAGGAGGTTTAACCTCCTTGGTTTCCACAATATTCGGCCTCATGCAGGGTTGACCTCTGAGATCCGTTTCTCAATAACCAAAGGACGCGATTGCTGATTGCAAAAGTAGGCCGAAGCTAACTTTAGTTGAAGTTTTTATACAATTAGAAAACAAACTCTTACAAAATGTTTTGTGTGCGCGTTGTTTTACTTGTTTCGGCATCTATTTGTCACCTCATGGTCACGTGCTGGAAAACGCGGGCTATTCAAATTCGAGTTTAGAAATTTTCACACGTATGGCTCCTGCATGTTCTATTGAAAGACATTACTAATTACGATATCAATGCGAAGAGAAAAAATAAACGAAAAGACAGCTCGCCGCCGGCAGGGATCGAACCTGCAACTTTCGGATAACGCGCCCGCTGCCCATAATACCCCAATGCTCTACCAGTTGAATACAGGAGGTTCGCAAGACACGTCGTTCGTCCGTCTGAGGCGCTAGCGGCGTCCGCCGCCATCTCGTTTCCTCGTGGTGGTGCAGATAAAGGTTTAAAATTTAAACCTCCTTGGTGCGGATGTTCTCATATGGCGTGCTTCATCGGTTCTGTCTAAACGGCCAGCGACGATGAGAAGCTGTGTGTTTGACAGTGTGCACGACGCTGCAGCGTGTACGTATAAGGTGCGTTTGAGTGCGCGGAAACCACCAAGATTGATGCGCTGCCGTTTCGATGCTGGGATAATTTCGGGGTCCCCGCCCACGTGCAACGCTTGTAATATCAGGTTTACTTGTCCATAACCCTGTAAAGTGGACGGCAGCATGATCTCGATTGGTTGAACATTGGACGCTTTATCCGAAGGTTGCAGGTGCGGTCCCTGCCGGTAAAATGTTGTCTTGTTGTCTAGTTTGCTTTGTAGACATATTAATTACTGCGATAAAATTTGAACAGTACCACTAACGTGCCCTATGTCTTTTCGGGCTTCAATATATTTAATTTTTCGATAAAGTTGTTTCAAGCGAAGAAACGATCCCTTAAAATCCCATTCTGTCGTTCGTTCACAAGTTAAAAGATATCACGCCCCTTTGAGCGTTGGACTATGCGTACGCAAGCCCCTAAGCAGCGTGCATACGCACACCCTTGCGCTCCATTGTTTTCACCTTGTGTGTGGATGAAGTACAGAATACAGCACAAAAGAAAGCAAAGACCAAGTGGCCAGGGATGGCTTGTCGTCGCAAATCATCCCTAGTCGTTTGGTCTCTGCTTTTCTGGATTGCAACTCTTTCAAGGTGCAAGCCACATGCCGCGGACGTAGGACCCCACATACCCATCCTCGTTTCTTTCTGCCCAATTGCAGCTGGTTCTGTTCTCACTCTCCTAACTTTCTTGGTGTTATTCCATAGCTCGAACACGTGGTGGCCGAGCTCCTGAAAAAGGAGGTGGCCTTGTTCGTGCCCACGGGAACCATGGGAAACCTGGCAGCAGGTGAGAGAGATGTCTTACGAACGTCCACTATACCGCGATCTGCCTCCATTCTCCTTGGTTCTTGTATATATGCGCATATATATGCACGCGTACAGTCCTGCTCAAAAGTTCCCAAGCCATGCTTTCGTATAAATACATTTGATAGTGGCCTGGGAACGTTTGACCCCTCCCTGCATTTTACGTAATGTCTGCATGTACCTTAGCGAACAATTAGAAAATAAATACGGGGGGAGGGGTAATCCTGAATTGGCAGGGACAATAGATGTAAATTCGCCATTGTCACGATGTCCCGACTCATATGCTCCCTTCCACTATCGGGAAAGTTCCCTAATCGCCTAATAATTGGTGGCTTTAATTCTAGCGATACCGGTTGTCCTGGCACCTACCAAAATGGCAGAGAGCAGTTTTGGTAGGTGCCAAACTAAACAAAAAATACATTGTGGGAGTGACGCACTAAGTAGTGCAATGATTGAAGCAGCGGAGCCCTGGTCCTTTTCTGCGCCCTCATTCCCTTTCCCACCACCTTGCTACACTTAGCCATGCAAGACTGTGCTACGCTTGATCCTTTCCCTTTCTTACCTTCTTCCTATGCTAATGCCGCGCGTGTGTACCAGTGGCGGCGACAACGAAGCAGCGCGAGTGTTCTTAGCCGAGCGCAGCGACGAAGAAGACGTTGCAGTCTTTTCTGTGATCGATAAAACCGATATATATATATATATATATATATATATATATATATATATATATATATATATATATATATATATATTGTCACGGGCGTCCCGCGAAAAAGACGAAGGCGACAGCGCATACGCGCATCTGCACGCTTTTATGCAGAACGCAACAACGAGAAAGATGAGGAACTCTCTCTCACGCGGTTAACAAAAAGACCGACCCGCTGCTGTTTTCTCAGCGTCTTCGAGTACGACCTCTCTCTTGACGTCGCGACACTGGTGGAGGTGCTGGGGCCTGCAACCTGATGCAAGAAAGCGTTGTTCGGGACCGTACACCCAGCCCGGAGCCTCAACGTCTTGTTGCGACTCCAGTACACCGATTCAGCCGGCGCCTATTAGGCCTAAGCCCAGAACTCTTGATGGCATCTCCTGTTACCAACATGGCGGCCCCTTCAGCGTCTGCGAATCTTCCCCCGGCCTCGGCCCAGACGACTCACCCTTACCAGGTAACTTTTGAGACTCCTCGTGTTCCCGAAGTCTTCCGTGGAGAACCGTATGAAGATGTCGAGGACTGGCTCGACCAGTTCGAGCGGACCGCTGTGGTGAATCGTTGGAGCGTGCAAGAAAAACTTGGCCGTGCCTACTTCGCAATGGAAAATAGCGCTCGCACATGGTACGAGAACAGGGAGCCTACTTTCCAAACCTGGGACAATTTCCGCCAAAAGCTTCTCGAGACGTTCCTGAGTGCGGACCGACGGGATCTCGCACAACAGATGATCGAAGCCCGCATGCAAAAGCCGAACGAAAGCGTGGCCATGTTCGCTGAGGATATGGCCCGCCTATTTCGCCGCGCTGACCCTGACATGCCCGAGGCAAGGAAAGTTCGTCATCTGATGCGGGGAGTTAAGGAACCGCTTTTCACCGGCCTTGTACGAAATCCGCCAACAACAGTGGATGAATTCATCAAAGAGGCGACTGTCATTGAGCGGGCGCTCCGGCAACGATGCCGCCACTTTGACCGCCTGCCCGACCAAACGCCTGTTGGTGCCGCCGCTCAAAACGCTGCCGTTTCTGAAAACTCTTTACGGCAAATGATTCGACAAATCCTGCGGGAAGAGCTGCGGGCTCTTGGCCTTCCGTCTACCGATCCCCCAGTTGCTTCTGTTGCAGAAATCGTGCGCCAGGAACTACGGCAAGCCTTTCCATCACCGGCGCCACCACCCGAACCACGTCCACTGACCTATGCTGATGCCGTCCGCCGTCATCCGCCTGCCCCAGAAGAAGCACCCTTTCAGCCGCGGCCCGTTACCTTGCCGTGGTGGCAGCGTGAACCTGTGCGGCGACCACCAGTACGTCGGACCGACTTGTGGCGCACTGCCGACCGTCCACCCCTTTGTTTCCACTGCGGCGAACCAGGCCACATCTCGCGCTACTGCCGTCATCGAGAAACCCGGTTTTCTCGGCCCGCTTCTTTTTATTCTGAAGACCCTCGTGACCATGGTGCTGATCACCTACCGACCAACCAAGCGTCTTCACCAAGTCGTCGCTGGCGGTCTCCCTCACCTGCACGAGGTCAAAATTCCCCGAATCGCCAAAGATACGCGGACGCCATCAGAAACCGCTCCCCAAGCCCGTGCCAGGGAAACTAACTGCCGCGACCTCCGGGGGCAAGGTTGCCAATTGCCGAGACGCCAAAAAGACCCCCTTGCCTCTACACAAAGACGACGTGACGACGGTGATGACGAAGACGACAACAACCACGAGTACTACTGCCAATGAATTTGTACGTGCCGACCTCAGCGTTATTATAGACGGACACCACGTAACAGCACTGGTTGACACTGGTGCTGACTTCTCTATTATGCGACAAGAGCTCGCCGACCGCCTTAAGAAGGTTAAGACGCCGTGGAGTGGGCCGAGTATAAGAAGTGCTGGTGGGCAGCTAATGACGCCAACTGGTAAATGCACCGCTCGGCTCGTAATCGATGATTCGAACTTCGTCACCACTTTTGTCATTTTACCGGACTGTTGTAAAGAGTTGATTTTGGGTATGGATTTTCTGCGAGAGTACGGTGCTATCATCAACATCCCAGAACGTATCGTCACCTTTTCCGCCCATCCTTACGTCGACGCCACCACTGAAGAACAACTGCAACGTTTACGTGTAGCCGATGATGTGATGCTCCTGCCGAGATCTTGCTGCCTTGTGTCGGTGTTGTGTGAACGGCAGTGCCGTAATGAGGTGATAGCGGAGCGAATAGACACGCTATTGCTTACGCAAGGTGTTTCAATAGCGAGAGGCATTCTGGCACTAATTGATGGGCGGGCAGAAGTCCTCATCACCAACTTCAGCAACGAGCGTCGTCACATCCAGAAGGGCACCGCGATTGCCTACTACGACGACGTGGACCAAGCCATAGATTGCTTCGCTTTGCAACCGGACGAGGCGACCATCCCAGCCTCGACACCTTTGTCTGTCAACATTTGCTCAACCCTGCCAGCCTCGGAAAAACAGCGCCTACTAGAGCTGATACACCAGTTCAAAAATTGTTTTTCGTGCACGTCGAAAGTCAAGCAAACACCACTGACCCGGCACCGAATCATCATTGAAGAAAATACGAGACCGATCCGTCAAAACCCATACCGTGTGGCTCCGAAAGGACGTGAGGAGATCCAAAAGCAAGTTCAGAAGATGCTCCAAGATGACGTAATACAGCCTTCCAAGAGTCCCTGGGCATCCCCCGTGGTATTGGTTAAAAAGAAAGACGGCAGCTTGCGTTTCTGTATAGATTACCGCAAGTTAAACCAAGTAACGAAGAAAGACGTCTACCCACTGCCACGTATAGATGACTCTCTTGATCGGCTGCGGCATGCACGCTATTTCTCATCGATTGACCTGCGAAGTGGCTATTGGCAAATAGAGGTCGACGAGAGAGACCGTGAGGAAACTGCTTTCGTGACGCCCGACGGTCTTTATGAATTTAAAGTGCGTCCATTTGGGTTATGCTCAGCGCCAGCCACTTTTCAGCGTTTAATGGACACTGTGCTATCAGGACTTAAGTGGCAGACATGCTTGGTTTATCTAGACGACGTTGTCGTCTTCTCAGCTACATTCGAGGAACACCTAAGTCGGTTATTCGCAGTTCTACAAGCTATACGTTCGGCTGGCCTGATTTTAAAGCCAGAGAAGTGCTATTTCGGTTTCAACGAACTTTGCTTCTTAGGCCACGTGGTCAGCCACGAAGGTGTTCGACCTGACCCGGGCAAAATCGACGCTGTCGCAAAGTTCCCGCACCGCATGACAAAAGAGCAGTGAGACGCTTCTTAGGCCTCTGCGCTTATTACCGACGATTCATCGCCAACTTTTCGTCTATTGCGGCGACTCTGACGCGGCTCACACGAGAGGATGTCCCCTTTCTTTGGAGCGAAAAGGAACAAACAGCGTTCAACGAATTACGCCAACGCCTCCAAACACCTCCGGTTCTGGCGCACTTTGACCAGGAAGCGCCAACAGCACTTCACACCGACGCAAGCAATGTAGGCCTGGGCGCCGTACTGATACAATGGCAAGATAACTCCGAGAAAGTGATAGCCTATGCCAGCAGAGCTCTCTCTCGCACGGAAGAGAACAACTCGACTACCGAGAAAGAGTGCCTCGCCGTGGTTTGGGCGGTTCTCAAATTTCGACCGTATCTGTACGGCCGCTCATTCAAGGTCGTCAGTGATCACCACTCGCTTTGCTGGCTCACTAACTTGAAAGACCCATCCGGCCGTTTAGCACGCTGGAGCCTTCGGCTTCAGGAGTTTGATATGACCATTATTTATAAATCAGGGAAGAAGCACACCGACGCAGACTGTCTCTCGCGGTCACCCGTTGAGCCTGCCGCTATTAATGATGAGTCTATGGACGCCGCATTCTTGGGAGTCATCAACGCGGCCACTATCTCACAAGAGCAGCGCCGTTACCCTGCCCTGCTTTCGCTTATCGATTTCTTAGAAGAATTTTTGCGAGAGGAGTGCCATCTTTTTGTTTAAGGAACAACGTCCTATACAAGAAAAACTTTTCTCCCACCGGCAGCCCATACTTGCTCGTCGTCCCTGCATCACTGCGAAAAGAAATCCTGGAAGCCTGCCATGATGAAGTCACCTCTGGTCATCTCGGTTACACTCGAACATTGTCCCGTCTGCAAAACAGTTACTACTGGCCTAACCTACCTGCTGCTGTGAAACATCACGTCCAAACATGTGCCGACTGTCAAAGACGCAAAGCTCCACCCGGCAGGCCGGCAGGCTTATTACATTCCGTTCAAGTACCAGCAAAGCCAT